ACACCTGATCCGGTTCAAGCGGTCCAGTTCAACCGGTTTGGTTTCAAGTGGTTTGGTTCATCCAGTTCAAGTTCGGTTCGGTCTGGTTCGTCACATTTCGGTTCGGTTTGGTTGATTTATACCGGTTCTGGTCTGGTTCGTTTGTTTCAGTTCAATTGGTTTGGTTCACTTGACTCTGTTCAATTGGTTTGGTTTGATTCCCTTTCCTCCTTCAGATTTGGTTTGGTCTATTCAGTACAGTTTTTGTTTGTGTCCATATTGTTGAAGTTATGATTGAGAAGAAATCAGTGTTTTCGAGGCGCAAGACGCACCGCAAGGCGACGAGTCCTTTGATCGCCTTGAGGCGGGAGGCGATACAAAGGCGACGCCCGATTGAAGCGAGGCGCACCTTGATAAATAAGTAAAAATTATATATATAGTGCATAAATTACCTTAAATCAATACCAAAATAGTAAATGTCAACAAGATGCATAAAACAACCAAATTCTATAAGTTTAGTTCCAAATAAAGACAAGCAACATTAAGAAATTGTAGAGTCTGAAATAGAACAAAAAGTAAATATAAGTAATCAAAGCTCATCATCCTCATCTAAATCTAAATTTTCTTCATCTTGGATGTCCTCACAATCTTCCTTTTCCAATTCTTCTTCTTCTTCTTCGGTGTCATCATCATCATCACTAACCACAACTTGCACTGATTTTCAAACTCTTGATGTTGTAGGAGCGGGAGTAGCAGGCGACTTTCCTTTAGATCTTGCATATGTTCTAGTTTGCCTTATGGGTTCTCTAACACCACTAGCCTCGGCTACATCTCCCCATGTGAGGTCGTCATCATCAAAGACCAACTCATTTTCTTCTTGACCATCTTCTTCTTCGAGTGTTCCGATCAACCATTCATTACTTTCATCAATATGATCCAAAGTAATTGGATCAAGTTGGTCTTGTAGAGTGTAGCGCTCTTTAAGTGCTTGGTTATATTTTATATAAACCAAGTCATTAAGACGCTTTTGCTCTAACCTGTTCCTCTTCTTGGAATGAATCTACAGAATTATTAACGATGTAGAGTCAAAAGTGGATTTTTCAATCTTTAACTAACAAGGGAAAAACCAAATTATTCTCACTTACGTGTTCAAAAACACTCCAATTGCGCTCACAGCCAGAAGCGCTGCACGTTAGACTAAGGACTCTCATGGCTAACTTTCGTAAAATCGGAGCATTAACACCATAAAGATACCACCATGCAGCTGTGCACATATTAAACAAATGATTTAGAATTTTAGTAGTTCAAACTTAAATATGTCTATTAAAAATTTAAAACTAAAAGTAATAAATAATGTCATTACCTGGTGTTTTAACACCCCTCGTCCTTATTGCTACATTACTCGAAAACATGCCTTTTGCTTCATTGTACAATTCTAATTCGATTGAACATTGAACTTGATCATCGATAGATGGTATTAATCGTTCTATAACTTTGATCAGACCATCMATGACCTCAGGATCTTGCATTATTCTCTCTTTGTTGTCATAAAAAAGAGATGGATTCAAATAATATCCGGCTGCATGTAAAGGYCGATGAAGTTGACAATCCCACCTTTTATCAACAATCTCCCAAATCGGTCTATACTTCGCCTCATTTCCATTAAAACCACTCTTAATAGCCTCCTTTGCCCTATCCATAGCTTTGTAAATATAACCCATAGCCGGTTTATCACCATCTACTAGCCTCAACACACGAACTAAAGRGCCCGATGCTTTCAAAGTATACACAACTGAATTCCAAAAAGATGGCATCATAACRGTTTCAGCTGCTCTCTTCCCCTTTGGGTCCTTCGCCCATTTAGAGGTGGTCCATTTCTCAGAAATAAACATCTTCCTCAAATTGGCTTTATTTCTGTGAATACTGGCTAGGGTTAAAAATGAAGTTGCGAAGCGAGTCACTGCTGGTCTTACCAATTCATGTTGGTTAGTAAATTCTCTCATCATGTTTAGCACGTACAAGTGGTTGTAAATAAAACCACTAAGTGYCACRGCCTTCCGAAGACACCTTTTCACCTGYTCAATCTTTCCAATATCCTCCAAAATTAAATCTAGACAATGAGCAGCGCATGGTGTCCAATATAGATGAGGTCGCTTGGCTTCTAAAAGTTTTCCAGCTAGGACATAGTTTGAGGCATTATCCGTCACAACTTGGACAACGTTTTCTTCTCCAATCTTCTCCACCATTCCATCTAAGAGTTGAAAAATCTTTTCTCCAGTTTTGATGCATGAATATGCATCGATGGATTCCATAAACAACGTTCCAACAGATGAATGAACTAAAAAGTTGATTAGTGTCCTATCCCTCCTATCAGTCCACCCATCTGACATCAGCGAACAACCATTTCTCTTCCATTCTACCTCATGATCGCCCATAAGATTTTTTGTGTACTGTACTTCTTTTTTCAAGTACGTTACTCGAGCTTCATGATAAGGAGGTATCAAACCAGGGCCAAATTGCCCCACAGCTTCTAGCATCACTTCAAAACTTCTCAAGCGAATAGTATTTAGAGGAAATACCTGCTTGATATATCCAACGCATGATGAATTGCACTGTAGCATCTCTCCCCTCTTTATCATATTTTTCAGTAATAGTTGATTGCTTCAATCTCTTCAATCGATTTCTATCATC